GTATCAGAGTCAACACTGAGGAGGCTGTGGGGGCAGGAAAGGTATGGACACTTTGCTCCTCTACTAGGTTTTCCCTAAATTTGAAATTGTCCTAAGAAATAATTTATTTAGGTGGTGGTGCACACCTTTAATCCCAGCACTTGGGAGGCAGAGGAAGGTGGATCTCTGTGAGTTCGAGGCCAACCAGGTCTACAGAGTGAGTTCCAGGACAGTCAGGGCTACACAGAGAAACCCTGTCTCAAAAAAAAAACAAACAAAAACAAAAAAAGACATTCCTAGGGTTCCATACAAGACCTACTCAGGTAGAATCTTGGGGAGAGGTGGGGAAGGGACGTGCACACATTTCCTTGAGACTAGATAATGGACTATGAAGAAAGAAATGAGAAAAAGAAAGGAGAGAGAAAGAGAAAAAGTGATAAAGATGGATGCTGATAATCAAGATGGATGCTGATAAAGATGATAGATGCTGGTCAAGAGGGATGCTGATCAAATAGATGCTGATGATCAAGACAGATGATGATAAAAAATAGATGCTGTCTCCCAACTTCAAACATTCAGATCCAGTCAGGGTGGGATTCGACTGCATTTAAATCTTCCTCAACTAACTCTGACAGAAGGTAGTAATCCCTACACCCCATGGGGCTTCATGAAGTAAGATGCAGAAGGGGCCTTGAGAAAGAAATAAAAATGACACACAATACTCCAGATACTCTCTGGAAACAGAGATGGGCAGAAGGAATGTATGAGCTGAAAGAGGAGGAGAAGAAGGCCTGTCAAATGCCATCTTCTGGACCTGATGCGGTGATTGCAGTCATGAGTTCACAGTAGTTACGCTCACTTGCACAAGACTGGCCCTGTGAACCGTCAGTCATGGGTCGAGTAAGGGCTCTTAGGGTCCTAGCTCTCTCTGCTGAGTTCTTAGCTATTGACAGATGCTGGGAGAGATGGAGTCATTGTCTTTAGCTGTGTGTTTACTGGTAGTCCCATCAAGCTCCAGTGTAGCCCCGTGGTCACACAGAAGACCCTAGTAAACTCAGTGGGTCACCGATCAGTGCCTTCAGCAGAAAAGTGTCCTCTTGTAGTAGACGGGAACTCACACAGAGACCCATGACGGGACAATGTGCAGAGATGAGAAACGTTGGAGCACTCATTCCTTAATGGACTGTCTTCTACCAACTCCTCAGCTCCCTCAGGGCTCAGGGAGCTATTCAGAAGAAAAGGCAGAAAGACTGTAAGAGCCAGAGGTGGTGGATGATGTCGAGGAATCAGTCTTGCAGACACGACAGGACTGATGCACACAGAGACTGTGACAGCACACACAAGACCTGGACAGGTTCAAGCCAGATGGGGAGTCTCACTGGGTACACTAACCACCCTTCAGGGCAGGCTCATGCTCGGGAGTAATTAGCTAACACAAAATGAACCCATGGTATTTTTGTACACTGTCTAGTTTTGCTTTGTTTGGGCTTTGAGGGTTTTTTTTGGGGGGGGGTCTTATTGGTCTGTTGCTTGTTTATCATGATTTCCTTTTTTTGTGTGGAGGTAGGGAGGATCTGGGAAGAATGGGGGAGGAAGAAATGATCAAAATATAGTGTGTGTGTGTGTGTGTGTGTGTGTGTGTGTGTGTGTGTGTGTGTGTGTTTAAAAAAGCTTAGTGGGTTACAACACAAAACTAAAAGACATTAATGTAGCAAAGTGAGGAGAAGTGGGGTTTGACTGGGAAGGGAGGGAGACAAGAGAAGGCGGGTGAGAGAAATTAGAATGAGTGATCTACACATACACGAAATTGTCTGGGAGAAAATTATTAATAAAATAGATCTTGTGAATGTAAAAGGAGGGAGGGGAAGGGGAGGGAGACAGAGAGACGTGCATGCATGAGAGAGAAAGAGAGAGAGAGGGAGAGAGAGAGAGAGAGAGAGAGAGAGAGAGAGAGAGAGTTGAATGAAATCTCCAAAGGCAGTGAAGAGGAGCAAAGCATTAGAATAGAGGATTAAACCACAGAGAAAAGAATTCTCTCTCCCAAGCTGAACTATTTCTGCCTGAAGACAGCTTCACTGTGTGTCTCATGACATCAAGTAGGTGTGTATTGTTCACCATGATTTCACGGGAACAGGGCAGGTGACAAGTCATCTTTGGGATTTAGTTTTAAAGATGGATTAGGTGGTGAGGCCCAAGAGCAATGCGCAAAGCTGCAGTTTCTAAGAACCACACAGTTTCCAAGAGCCACAACAGTTTCTAAGTGCCACAGTCCTCTGCAGAATGGACCAAAGCAACTGGCCGGCTTTCGTGAGCCCTTACTCACCCAACGAGTAAGGGAAAAATGGATTTTTAAAGACAACATTTGAAACTTGTCACCAACTGTAATTGGGGCAACCTTGCAATTTGCGATTCCAAATGGAGCAGTTCTGAATTAGGGAGGCTTTTAATAAATGTGACAGTCAAGCAGGTGGACGCCAGTGTGTCTCAGGCAAGCCAGAGTGATCATCTAAGTCCTGTCCCTACCACTTCCCTGGGTCAGCAAAGCTAGCAGTCCTCATATGCATGAGCAACAATGGTCCAGGGAGGAACCACGGATGGCGCTAATACACTCCACACCCCTGGTGAGAAGCACAAGTAGCATTTTTATAATTACATGGCACAGCAGTAATTACAATTGATCCAGGGACTCATCAAAGGTCAGCATTAATTGGCAGGCTGTATTGGATTCGATCTAGTCTCTCTCAGGAATTCCCATAGTAGGCAGTGTTGTACCAGCCCCACCCTCCATGACAGGCTCCAACCTGGACAAACTGTCAGATGAAAAAACTTGGTCTTATCTTAAAATATGTCTCACGTCTGTAAGGATCTCAAGACATCAGGGAGTTTCTACCTTGATGACAAGGAGCATTCTTATTGAGTTTCTGACCTGAAACTTTTAAATATTTTTTCTACTTTAACGATATTTATTGGGATCTACAGTATGCCATGCTTTCTCCTAAGTGTTAAAGCAGGGAAGAGATGGAACAAATCACTGTAAATGTAAAAGTCACTTGTAACCATTGAGACTAATGCTTCATAAACCAGGGGATTCTGAACTATACCACGCTTTGTCACATACAAAGCTGCTTCTAGAACTATTCCAACAGCCAGAATGGAATAATCGAAATGTACATTACCCACTGAAGGGTTAAATAAAACATGGGTTTGAAACAGAATGATACATGCTCCATCAGTGAGGAGGAAATGACTTACTGGTCCATGCTACGGCATGGATGGAGTCTGAAAACATCAATCTGAGCGAAAGATAACAGGCCCAGAAGAGCACGTGTTGTGTAAGCCATTTAGATGAGGTACCCAGAAGAGGCAAATCTACAGAGGCAGAATGTGGATGAGAGGTTGTCTGGTGCTGGGGGGTTCTGGGGAGAAATCCAGAGTGACTGTCAGTGGGATCCCAGTTGGGGTGATGAGAACACTCTGAAGCTGACAACAGCAACAGCTGTACGAGTTCAGGAGGAAGAAGCATCCGTCGGTCTGCACACTCTCAGTGGGCGAGGTGGTGCTGTGTGCAGACAACAGTTAGTGGGGCCATTCAGTAGCCCTAAGCAACAAAGCACATTCTTCGTCAACATGGACCACTGTTGCGGCCACCGCAGGCAACAGTCTAGAAACAGAAATTAAACCACGTCCCTCAACCATGGAAAGGAAATTTAACTGAGCAGGAACACTGAATGGGTGGGAGAGGAAGAACGCTTATGCAGGATGACATACTTAGAAACAAAAAGAGCACACGGATACGAGGAGCCAGATTGGAAGTGCTGTAAAAAACCCAGGGACACAGTTGGGTGTCCATCTCTTGAAACTTGCAGGGGAGGTACGGTGTCTGTGAATCCAAGAAGCCTCAAGTGTCATCCTGGTTAACAGAGAGGTCAGCTCCCTCCAGGACCTTCCACAGTTGAAAATAAAAACAGCTGGGTGTGGTGGCACACACGTCTTTAAGTCCTAGAGCTCTGGAGGCAGAGGCAGGTGGGACTCCTGAATTCAGGGTCAGCCTGGTCTACATAGTGGATTCCAGTCATCCAGAGCTACATAGTGAGACCCTGTTTCATTTAAAAAAAAAAAAAAAGATGAGGGGGGGTGGGCAATGGAGGGTAAGGGATAGGGGATGAGAACATAAGGGAATGGGATGGTTGAACTGGAACAGGGATCGAGTGAGAAAGCAATGAAAGAGATACCATGATGAAGAGAGATATCATGGGGATAGAGAAACCCGGTGCTAGGGAAGTTGCCAGGAATCCCCAAGGATGACCCCAGCTTGGACTACTATAAATAGTGGAGAGGGTACCTGAACTAAACTGGCTTACCCCAGTAATCAGACCAGTGAATACCCTAACTGTCATCACAGAACTTTTCTCCAGTGGCTGATGGAAGCAGATGCAGATGCAGAGATCCACAGTCAAACACTAGGCTGAGCTCCAGGAGTCCAGTCAAAGAGAGAGAAGAAGGATTCTATGAGCTAGTGCATCAGGATCATGATGGGGAAACCTGCAGAGACGACCAAACCAAACTAGTGGGAACTCATGAAAGTTGGATCAATGACTGTGGAGCCTCCATGGGACTGGACTAGGCCCTCTGCATGGCGAGACAGTTGTGTAGCTTGATCTGCTTGGGGGCCCCCCTGGTGGTAGGATCAGAATCCATCCCTGGTGCATGAGCAGGCTTTTTGAAGCCTACTACCTATGATGGGACACCTTATGCAGCCTTGAGGCAGGGGGAAGGGCTTGGACTTGCCTCTACTGGATGTGCCTCCCAATGGGAGGCCCTTGCCTTCTTGTGGGGGGGAGTGGGGAGTAGGTTGGGAGGAGGAAGCTGGGGGGCGGGAGGAGGGAAAGGGAGATCTTTGAATGGTGTGTAAAATGAATGAAAAAACTTTTCTTAATTTAAAAAAAAGAAAAGAAAGCATGACAACTGTCTAGTATCAGGAAATCAAAATTCAATAAGCCATACCAAATTTTGAGCAAGTATTCATTCCATAGTTTTTATTGAAATGAATGATGAAATGATTTCCATAACAACCTTTAAGCTGTTTAAAATGATGACAACATTTAGCTCTTCAAATTTCATATGGCTTTTTCCTTCCTGTGCTCTGGCTCCGTGGTTCTACTTCTCATGAAAATGTTCATGTCTGTGGTGAACAAACATGTGGCATTATAAAATTCTGTAGTTCTCATAAAAGTGGGTTCCAATCAGATTACCCCGTTGCCAATTGTCTGAACGAAATGAGAACCGTTCGGCTCCTGTGACAGCGCAGTGCTGAGTGCTACCACTCTAGGCTTCTCTTAGGAGATTCAGGTTTTTATACGGAGCTTGCTGCCTGGGAAAATTTCTAATTACCCAGTGAAGCTTTCACATTCCAAAGTATGTGTTCTTCTAAAGGTGGGAAGGTGAGAGCCGGAAAAGCTCTCCCTTCACAGAGGAAGAAACTTGTTTCAGCAGGAAGACCATGCTCATCATAGGTGTTCATGTCACAAAGACAGGCCGTAACCAGAAAGTTCTCTCCTAACGTTTGCAGCTTCAGTTCTCCAATTTTTGCTTTAATAAAAAAAAAATAAAGGAGTTTTCTTTCATTTTAGTGTGGGAGAGAAGTCTGTATTCCCTCTGTCCCCAGTTCCTCTGTCCACGTCTGCAGACCCTTCACATCATGCGTCATCCACACATCTGCAAAGCACTTGAGCCTTTTCCTGGAGAAAAATAAAGAATTAGTTATTTTGGAATGGGATTAATGGGGGAGGGTGTCTCACAGGAGCAAAGAAAGCCTACTCAGTTGGGACAGAAAGGACTCTGTGGACAGGAAGCTATGACAGTGTCCCCAACTCCAGGGCTACAGCGGCATCAAAGATCGAGGTTATTGATCACCACGATTGTCTTCCTGCTGCCTTCTAAAATCCTGCCTGCAGGGAGGGGCCTATGACTTCTGAACTCTGCCAGAGGCTGGTGGTGTCCCAATCTGTGTCCAAAGACAAAATATTCCTATTTATATTTATATAAATATACATTTATAATAGGATAAAAAGCAAAACTGATTTAATCACATAAAGCTGGGAAGCCAAAGGACCAACAGCAGCAGCCCACGGAGCAGCAGCAGAGCAGGAGTCCAGTTAGCCATTACTCCAGGGCCGGAGGAAGAGTTCCAACTACTGCCTCATGTCTAATGAGCTTGGTGGCCCTGGGTCAGCTCCTTGCTGAGACCTGGTCGCGGCACACAAGGTTGTCATGAGGATTAGGTGTGTCAATGTGGGTAAGTCAGTTGGCACAGTGCCCAGGAAGCTACAGGTGACTGTACATAATCCTTTCTGTATGTATGTGGTGAGTATGCAATTAATCCTTAACTACTGTAGCACATCCACACCTACCCCACAAGAATCAGCTTTCTTTTTATCTGACCAAGAGAACTGATGGGAAAATGCTTATAATGCACAGGGAAAGTGTGTACAGCATTTTGACAAACCACAAAATAGTCCATCTTCAAAAAATTAGGGGGTGTATTTATTTTATATGTATGAGTGTTTTGCTGGCTTGTATGTTTATTTACCATGTGCATGGTTAGTGTTCATAGAGGCCAGAAGAGAGGGTCAGATCCCTTGGCACTGGAGTTACAGATGGTTGTGAGATGCCATGTAGGCACTGGGAATCGAACCTGTGTTCTCTGAAAGAGCAGCCAGTGCTGAACCACCTCTCTCCAGATCTGAAATATCCCATCTTAATGTAATGTCTCACCTTATAAAGATAACTGCAGATTTAAAAATGTCACATGTTAGTTGGAAAAACGAATGTCTATAATAATCTGTGAACTTTCTAATTTTCTTGCTTTAGCTTTTGAGGCTACAGTAATAACAAGTATGAACTATTTTATTGCCAGCTTGTATATGTGTCCTTTGAGGCAGGGTTTCACTATGTAGCCCTGGCTAGCCTGTAACTCACTATGTAGACTAGGCTAGCCTCTAACTCACAGAGATCCACCTGCCTCTGCCTCCAGAGTGCTGGGGTTAAATGGGTGTGCCACCACACCCGGTATAATCTTTCAAGGTAGAAGTTTCTTCTTATTTCTTCCAGAAAAAGGTGATCGGATGATAAGAAAGACTATGTTCATCTTTGAACTTTGCAGAAGTCTAAGGTTTAGATTTTGAGCTCCCATTAATAAACTTGTCAGGAAACTTTTTATATTAATTTGTCTTGTAACAGAAATAGGCCCTTGCTTCTGGTGTGACATTGCAGAAGTGATCTAGAAGACTGTGCCAACTCAAGCTATTCCCTAACTGTTTAAGAGAGAAAAGGCTGTGACTTGTATTTGTTCTCAGAATGCTTTCTTCGTGGTCTCTCCCCTCAGGTATACCCTAGGAGTATATTAATTAAGATTAGTTTATGAACTCACTACACACTGACTAGCTATCAAGCATTCACATAAACTGTGGAGGTGAGGGGACTGCAGACAGAAGCCAGATCACAATTGTCACACTCAATACAGAAATAAGTGCATGTGGATAATATGATCTCATGGCTACACACTACAATTTTCACTCATATCCTGACAGAATTCTGCCCCTGCCAGATTCATTTATTCACTTTTATTTATATATACAGATGTGTGGCTGTGTGTCTGCATGTGTTTAGGTGCACCATGCCTGTGGAGGTACTCACTGAGGCCAGACGCACTGGATCCCCTGAGACTGGAGTTACAGACAATTATGAGCATCTAGGTGCTGGGACTGAACTTGGTCCCCTAGAAGAGCAACAAGCACTCTTAACTGCTGAGGCAGGTCTCCACACCCCATGTCCTGACAAAATTCTTTGGATTTCTTTCATTACATTTGTTTATTTAGGGGGTGGGAACATGCCCCAGTGTACATGTGGAGGTCAGAGGACAACTTGAGGTGGGGAGAGAGGTTCTCTTTCCACCAGGGACCAAATTCAGGTTGTCAGGTCTGGTGGCAACCTTTACCCACAGAGATACTGTTATCAGTCTGTGACAGAATTCTGAATTCTGAAAGCTGTTTATTCCTGCAGATGCACTGTGTGAGTAAGATAAGTCCTGTGCAGGCCCCAAGTACATCAGTAACTTTTAAAATAACTGCAATTCCGGATTGTTTGGCTCGGCCTGGGAGGAGGGGACTAGACCTACCTGGACTGAGTCTACCAGGTTGACCTCAGTCTGTGGGGAAGGCTTTGCCCTGGAGGAGATGGGAATGGGGGGGGTTGGGTTGGGGGGAAGGTGAGGGGGACGGGAGGGGGGAGAACAAGGGAATCCGTGGCTGATATGTAGAACTGAATTGTATTGCAAAATAAATTAAAAAAAGAAAAAAAAAATAACTGCAATTCCTCAGCAGCTAAGGTATTGGCTCACACCAAGATAATTCTGTAGGAAAAACAAGACCAAAAAGGATTGTTTGCCACCTAATGAAGACCCGACACAAACATGGGCTGAATTCTTCTGAGCTCTGTCCAAAGCTGCTTGCCTCCAGCCGTAAGGAAAGCCTGAAGAAGAGGCTCCATAGTAGTCCTTCAACCCAAACTCCAAAGAGCTGCCCATGGTCATTTACACGACCACCCTCTTCCTTAGAGAGCTGAGAAGGTGCCACTAGGAAGCAAAACAAATAACAAATCAAAGACATTCCAACCTTCTCAGGTTGACTAAGCCTTCCAGCTCTTTGGACTTGTGAGCGGCTTTCTTCAAGATTTCTCCAGGCACATCCGCTAGCTTCGCCACATTCAGGCCGTAACTCCTCGCTGCAATTCCTCGGGTTATCTGATAGAGGAATGTGACAGAGTCTGGCATGTCACCTATCAGGTAAAGAGGGAGAAAAAAGAACGATCAAAACTGCATCCAGCAGGCAGGTTAAGTGGACGGCAAAAGAAGATAAAGGCTCCCACAACTGGCCGGGCGGTGGTGGCACACGCCTTTAATCCCAGCACTTGGGAGGCAGAGGCAGGCGGATCTCTGTGAGTTCGAGGCCAGCCTGGTCTACAGAGCGAGTTCCAGGAAAGGCGCAAAGCAACACAGAGAAACCCTGTCTCGAAAAACCAAAAAAAAAAAAAAAAAAAAAAAAAGCTCCCACAAGCTTCTGTTAACACTCACAACCTGAACACAGTTTCCCAGCCACCTGTAGCTTGTTTGATTGAGTTGGAAAAAGATAAAGTTTTGAAACAGGGCGGTGGTGGCAGTGGTGGCAGTGGTGGCGGCGGTGGCGGCGGCGGCGGCGGCGGCAGCAGAGTCAGGCGGATCTCTGTGAGTTCGAGGCCAGCCTGGGCTACCAAGTAAGTTCCAGGAAAGGCGCAAAGCTACACAGAGAAACCCTATCTCGAAAAACCAAAAAAAAAAAAAAAAAAAAAAAAGATAAAGTTTTGAACATGATTATGCATTTAGGGGGCTTGGCTCACTTAAAATAGTCTTGAATAATGGGTGGCTATGAAATCTGAACTGAGCTTCTGTATTAAAGGAGAACAGTTCAGGCGTATGCGCAGTAGGACATGATGTGTCCCGTAGTTCAAGTAGCAGGGACGTTCTGGGTAGAGGAGCTGTGCACACTGAAGTGGGTGCCCTGCTTAGCGCCTCTTGGGATGAAGGCTTATTTCCACAGCTGTTAGGAAGGCTGTTGGCCTGAAATCATCAGCTGGTGTTCATGCCCTGTGTCATTTCCTCCTCTTGAGTGTGGGATGGACCCAGTGACTCGCTTCTAATGGACAAAATATGGCACTGCGGAGAGCAGGCCGGAGAACATTGCATCCTCCATCTTGGGCACCCTTCCTTTCTTCTTGCTCTGAGGAAAGCCAGCTGCCATGTGGTGGGCTGCCCCATGAAAAGGCCCACATGGAAACCTGTCACTCAACAGTCAGTGAAGGACTATGGCTTGCCAACACCAAGCTGATGCTATACCCTGAGGCCTGTACAAAGCTGTGGGAGGGATTGGGAAGCAGGTTTGCCTGGCTGACCCATGAACTGACTGCCTTCCAGTCAAAGCTCTCAGAGGTGCTCAGCCAAGTTCCCCTAGATGTCAGACACACAGGAATGAGAGACAATTTTTATCTTAAGCTGATTATTGAGATAGCAAGCTGCTGAACTTTTTTTTTTTTTTTTTTTGAAATTACTGTAAGCTAATAGTGATAAATAATAAAGGATATAGAGGCCTCGCCTTCCTTAATTTCCAGTTGAGGTAATTCTGAAGGACCATCCCAGCCTCCAAACTCTGCCCCCACCGCCACGAACTGAAACTTTAAAGACCTAGGAAAGCTCAGGTACAGAGCTCCGTAGCTCTCTCAGAACCTAAAGCACTACAGGATCACACAGCTTTAAAACAAAAACTCACCATCGAGTCACATCTGGTCCTAGATGGGCCAGATCTTCATGGTTTCTGTGACCCTAGCACATGCTGTAAATTCACCAAGAGCCTTGGCTTCTTTGTCAAGTGGGTATGCTTTGATAATCAGTTACCGATGAGAAAAGCCAAGAGACCGAACACAAAAGTAAAAGGAGACAATAGAATTCACCTCCTATGAGAATCCAGTAGCAGAAAATAATAGCTTTCTCGGGGTGTTTGCTACAAGTAGGAGGTGAGAAGAATGCCGCAGACGTTATTACCAAACACTAAGAATACCTTCTACCTCCAGATGAAAGAGAGATACAAAGAAGGGTGAAGAGTGGGTGAGCGCGGATGAGGGAAGGTCGGGTCTGCAAACCCCAATGGCTTTTTGTTACTCTTCCATGAGCACAAGATGAAGAGGCAAGTGAACAGCAGTAGCCATCAAAAATGCAAACCTTAAGACAAAAAATAGTCCTGGCTCTTTCCAGGCTAATCTAGCTTCCATGCTGGTCTTTCTTAAGCAAGACAAAATTCATTCATCTGTCTGTCCTCCCATCTGTCCAAGCATGCTGCTGGCCAGCATTATCCGACAGCCTGGTATGTAGTGCAACCCTCCTTTCTTAGAAATGGGTTTGCGGATACATTTTCCAAGAGTTGTTATTTTTTTCCCTTTGCATATAATATATAGCATATGTTGGAGCTACATATGATATACAGATATGTATATGCTATATGTAAACAGTAGGGATGGCTGAAACAATGGTTCTGTTTATCCTTATATTTTTTAAGACATGCTTCACTGTATTACCTGGGTCACCACAAACTTTTGGCTCAAGTGATCCTGTGCCTCAGCCTCCTCAGGACCTGGGACTATACATCCATATCTTCTTTGTGCATATTTTCTACAATGCTTTTTAAGCATAATATAGCTATACACTACAGTTTAATTACATAATGTATTATATTACTCTGAACCTTGAACACATTATTATCATATGTTAGTACAAACAGTGGCTGAATCTAACACCATATGCTGGTCTCCACTTTAGGATTGTTCTCATGCCTTCAAGGTAAAGAACATGATCACTCTCCCCAGGGGTCTCTTTTTGTTGTTAGATTTTGCCTCAAGCCTGTACCTTCTTGGTGGACGGTATGCATGTGTGCATGTCTGTGATGGAGATATGGAGGCAGGAGGAGGCAGGTGGGAGGAGAGAGGAATAAAAACAGCCCATTGTTCTAGGTCCTCACCACAAAGGATCTCAGTGAGTTCTTCTCTTGCAAGCTACACTCCTTTCTTAGGGATATTTTGAAAACTAATCACTGTCAGAGTCTATGAATATGTTTCTATTATAAAGAAAATTAGCAAAACCTATTTTAAGGCCAAATTTCTCAATGAGAATGATATTAAAGAGATGTGTTCTGATCAAATTATTTCCAAGTTGTTTTTCTTTCTTTACACTTCTTTCTTTTGCTGTGCGGACAGTGCACGCATGGCCCAGAGGGTGTGCTTGCCAGAGGACAACTTTGGGAAGTCAGTTCTTTCCTCCCCAGTGTGGGTTTCAGAGATGAGCTCAGCATCAGCTTTGGCAGCAAGGGCATTTAGCCACTGAATTCATCAAGTTCACTCAGCAGGCCTGATCAAGTCACTTCAGAACTTGCCTTTTTTGAGAGCTGTATAGAAGTTTAGAGATGGATACAATGAGACAATTGTCTTCTTATCCCTTGACACAGGGTCTCATGTAGTCCAAACTGACCTTGAACTGGCCAAGTAGCTAAGGATGACCTTAAATGATCTTCATGCCTTCACCTCCAAAGAACCAGGGTATAGGCATGCAATACAATACCTAGTTTTGTCTAGGCCTTTACAATTGCTCTCCTGGCTTCTGATCCATCACTTCGGCTACCGCACACCCCTTGAAACATAGGCCTTGAATAGCTTACCTCGTTTCATTGACAGTACTGGTCTACCCAAAATCCACTGCATTTTTAAGGAAACTTTTGTATTAAAAGGAATTGACTTCCTGTCCATTGAATCAGGGCAATCTCCTCACACTCAGCTCTAAAAGTGGATCCTGATTAATTTTGAGACCAAGTTATTTCTGCCATTCTCATTTAGAGGCAACTCAATTCTGACAATGAGATTGGAATGACCCTGAGATGCTAGAAGGCACCTGAAAAAAAGTTGCCTTGCTCCTAAGACAGTTACAAGAAGGAGCAGAGACACAGGTCAGTGGCAGAGTGCAAGCTCAGCATAAACACAGCCTGGTTCAACACCCAGCACCAAAAGTGAGGCAAGAAAAACATGGAAAAGTCTCCTAAACGCCAGCTCCTCTTCTAGCGCCAGACCCTGTCAAGCATCCAGTGTGTGATATCTGAAAGACCTATAGCCATCTTCCCACTGGCCTGCGACAGGGTCAGCAGGGCAGGAAGACAGCCAGGAGAACTGCTGGAGGAGCTGGCGCTGCACTGAGGTGTTACACTGGACAGCCTTACTGTGGATCCAGTGATCCAGTGCTTTGTTAGAGGAGATCACACACTTAGGGAAGGAGAACTCTTGGGGACCGCAAAGACAGCCTCAGGAAAGCAGACGTGAAGCTTCTCCTGAGCAGCAACCAGTTCCCAGGAGAAGAATGGCAAAAGGCTCCGGCAGAAAGGCTCCAGTGGGAACAGCAGGTTCCGTTACGCTGGCGATGCTCAGAGAGACATTCCTCAGAGCTATCACAGGGCCAAGGAGGACTCGGCTACAGACTCAAAGCACATGACAAAATACACAACTAAAAATCAAGCCGAATTGGTTCTTAGCACCCAGAAGTAGTTGTAAAGAAAAGAGAATGTGCTTGTCTGATGGATGAGTGGGCACCACTGTCACTGTAGGGAGAGCTAAAACAACAAGCAGGCTCCAGGGGGAACGCAACGTGAAGGGTGATGTCGGGGGAGGCTGAGGTCCTAACACAATGAGGCCGCTAACAGAAGGTGCCAAGGAACGGGAACTATGCACATGATTCAGAAGCATGAGACAATGGAGGAAATAGTACCAAGTCTGTCTCGTGCCTGGGATGAGGAAGGGCCTGGAGTAAAGAGATGGAAGCTTGTGAGCGGTGTTCAAGTCTAAGAATTACCGCCACAGACAAAATCAATATAATAAAATGCCAAACGCTCCAGGGCACAGGATTCTGCACTGGGTCGGCAGCGAGTCTGCATGCCCTTCGAGGCAGCTCCTCAGGCCCTCCCCACTGAAGAACTCTACTTTGTTTTGCAAGCCATTAAACTGGATGCAGATTAATAAGAAGCAAAACTTCGTGAGAGAATTTATGAAGTGTTTTTCAGGGCTCAGGGATTGCTTATCATTACATTTATCTTAGGTCCAGTACTTTGTTTTATTTGGGCCATCTGCCTGATTTCTTTTTAAGTTCTGTCTTTACTACTTTCTCAAACTTAAATTTGGACTCTGGCGTGTCTTGGATAATGGATTTTCCATTACAGCATACCAACTGTGCAAACTACCACAGGCTGGTAGCTTAAAAAAACTACTGCTGGGGGTGGGGGTTGCTCTAACGCTTACTAGGTTACTTATGGCACACGCATTTCTTCCTGTTGGCTAAGGATGCTCCTTCTCAGGGAAAGAGCTCGTCCTCTGATGGAAGCAGTACTGGAGAAGCTAGGGAAGCAGGGCCCAGAAGCAGAAAATGTGGCTGACATGGGCAAGCCACTTCTCCCCTGATTCTCTTTTATTACACTAAGACACAACTCAGCTCCACTCTAGAACACGACCTGTAGTAAGTATGTTAGATGATATGGGGGAGGTGGTGAACATTTTAAAGGTGACTGAAAGTCCTCTGCACTCGACTATCTTATCCTAGGATGAGAACTGAGGAAAAACGTGCAGGACTAAGAGGAACTTCTGCTTTGGGAAAAAGGGTCGCCATTTAAACAGATGAGGGAAAAACAGAGAAGGACTTTGAGTTAGCAAACAAACACATGTACATGCTTCGTGACTCAAGGCTTACAGCAAATGAATTTGCCAAATGTTTTTTAGAATGGATGATCACAGCTTGCATTATTAATAAGCAATGAGCTCATATTCCTATAAACTTGGAGTTACCGAGCTGAATGTCAGGACTATTCACCTTGTTGCTCCTGCAAGGGGTTGCATACCTGACTCCTGCTGGCTCTCATCCTCACTGACCAAGAATCCCATGTGGTAATTCCCCACCTGCTCCGGGTAACGTTTTTCTAGTTCACAGACTGGTGGATAGTGGGTGACGAACAGGGTTAAGGATTTCACCTAAAACAGTGAGACATATAGTGTTGTTTTAATGAAAACATCTCAACTCTAAAAATCCGAATCTTCAGAAAAGCTGCAAGAAAAGAACGAAAACCACCATATACTCTTGGTTTAGACAACCAGTTACCACTCTGCCACATTCCCTCTTTCCTTCATTCCATGCAGGCAGGCAGACAGACAGACACACACACATACATGCACACACACACATACACATGCACACACACACACACACACACACACACACACGCACACACATACACATGCACACACACACACACACACACACACACACACACACACGCACGCACGCACGCGCACACACACATGCACATGCACACACTTTCCTGAGTCTTCTTTCCCTCCTCCAGTACTGATGGCTGAACCCAGAGGGCTTTCACACACTAGGCAAGTGTTCTGCTACTGAGCTACATCTTTAGCCCTAACCATTTGAGAATTAGTTGCAGAGAGTGTCTGTAAACATTTAAGATTCTATCTTCTAGGAACAAAATCCCATGCAACCAGAATAAAATTTATATATAAGAAATTAATTATCATAGAATATGACTCATATGTTTTAATATCCTCTTTTTTTAGTCTTTTATGGCATTAACACTGTGGTTAACATAGAAGTCAACTGCTTTCCTATATACCAGAAGTTAAAAAGTAGAATTTGGGCCGGGCAGTGGTGGCGCATGCCTTTAATCCCAGCACTCGGGAGGCAGAGTCAGGCGGATCTCTGTGAGTTCAAGGCCAGCCTGGACTACCAAGTGAGTCCCAGGAAAGGCGCAAAGCTACACAGAGAAACCCTGTCTCGAAAAACCAAAAAAAAAAAAAAAAAAAAAAAAAATTCTATAAAAAGTAGAATTTGAAATTAAAAGAAAAACTAAGCATCACTTATACAAGCACTACTCAAATTAAATTCTTGGGCATAACTGTAAAAAACGTATTTTAGCTGGGCGGTGGTGGCGCACGCCTTTAATCCCAGCGCTCGGGAGGCAGAGGCAGGCGGATCTCTGTGAGTTCGAGGCCAGCCTGGGCTACCAAGTGAGTCCCAGGAAAGGTGCAAAACTACACAGAGAAACCCTGTCTCGATAAACCAAAAAAAAAAAAAAAAAAAAAAAAACGTATTTTAGAATGCACCCAACAAGAACCATGTAACTCTAAGGAAAGACACCAAAGAGAAGCTAACCACAGAGCAGCCAGGCCATGCTGCTGTTCAGGAAGAGTCAGTACTGTCAGAGGGTAGTTCTTCCCAACCATGAGGTCAGGTCGTGAGCAGTCCTGCCCTCTGCAGGTCTCTTGACTGCTTGCCTTGGAGGAAACCTGGCCTCACTCTGTCGAAGACACCCAGTAGGCCCAGGGAAAGAATGGAAGGCCCAGGCAACCCCAGCACCAAGCTGGGAACCTTATGTGTGAGCCAGGACATTACTGGGGATCCTGCGGTTCTTGTCCAGCTTTCAGATGCCAGCTGCCCCCACTGGCGGCCTCACCATAGCGATAGCAAACACTGAATCAGAAGCCCCCCGCCATGCCACTGCTAAACCCTGGGTGAACAATGACATTCATTTATTGGCAGTCCTAACACTGACACAGTCTAACACAGCAGAAATTATGAACTTGATCTCGGGGTGGCAAACTCAGTTCTGTCCCAACTTCCTCCTAAAGGTTAAGCAGATGTTAAAATGTGTTGGTGGTACAAATGGGACTTTACCAAATGAAGCAAAAATCATATTTTTTCAAATAAGGATTTTTTTTGTTTGTTTTTTGTTTTGTTTTTTTTGTTTTTCAAGACAGGGTTTCTCTGTGTAGCTTTGGAGCCTATCCTGGAACTCACTCTGTAGCCCAGGTTGGCCTCGAACTCACAGAGATCCACCTGCCTCTGCCTCCCAAGTGCTGGGATTGAAGGCGTGCGCCACCACCACCAGGCTCAAATAAGGATTTTTAAAGAAAAATGAAAAGTATTCATTTTAAAGGAAAAAATCATGTTATCATTATGTGTATTATCTAAATAAACGTTGGAACAAACCCCAGAACTTATCCTAGCTATTTAATTCAGTAACGAAGGCACTGAAGTGCTTGCCACACAGGACAAAGCTAGGTGTGCTGTGAGAGCGTGCACTCTCATTCCTGGGGAGGTGGAAACAGGAGGCTCTCTGGGGCTCCTGGCTTGCAAGCCTGGCTTATTAGGTCCCGGGTGAGAGCCTGCCTCAAAGCACAAGGTGGACAGCTTCTGTGGAACAACACTTGAGGCTGACCTCCAGCTTCCACATGCACGTGTGCCCATGTGCACCCCACAGACATGCACACTCCTTGCTCATACACATACAGAAGGGGGAGGGGCATGCAGGTATTAATAAGGGCATTACGACCATAGTTATACAGTAACCATGAGGACACATTTCAGGTCTCACCACAAAAAGTGAGGCGACAGACTTATTAAGGAGCTGAGTTCAATTATCTCACGTTTAAATGGATGTTGTTATAACATGCCAACTTAAAATAATATTAGTTCATAAAAACTGTAAAGGGGGCTGAAGAGATGGGTCAGCAGTTAAGAGCACTGGCTGTTCTTCCAGAGGTCCAGAGTTCAATTCCCAGCAACCACGTGGTGGCTCCCAACCATCTGTAATGAGATCTGGCGCCCTCTTCTGGCATGCATACATGTATACATAATAAATAAATCTTTTTAAAAAAAAACAGTCAAGGTGTGGTGGCTGCTTACGTCTCTGATAAAATACTCCAGCGTAGCATAGGCGATGGCGATGCCATCATGGGTGCTTGTCCCTCTTCCCAGCTCGTCCAGGATAACCAAGGACTGAGGTGTTGCTTTCCGGATTATTTCTGCTGTGTCCGTGAGTTCTTCCATGAAAGTACTCCGACCTTGGTATATATTGTCTGCAGCACCCATCCTACAAGCAAGGTCAGAACACGTGATTTTCCCGAGTTACTTCCTTTGAGGCCAAATAATTGCTTTATGAACAATAAATTTATGATGTGTGTATGTAACAGTAATTGAAATTATTTTAAATTGAAATTATATTAAATAAAACATACATTGGATACAAAGAATGTATTGGACCCAAATTGAACCCTGAAAGAACATTCTAGACAGAACTCTGGAAAAGTAGGCAGTTTCACCTGTTTTTGTCTTCAAAATTCCAAACCCACACCTTGGTGTTCCCAGGACAAAATAACACTTCTCTGTGTCACTATGCTTAAAAATCTATTAGCGGTAGGACTTGTACAATTTGGGAAGTTTTCCAGCATTTTCTTATGCAAAATCCAGGGTGATTAAAAAGTCAATTACTATATACAAAATAATTTCCACACAATGAAACTTTTGTCCTAGAACTAACTTACAGATGTTTAAAGGCTTTGGACAGCAACTCATAGAGGTTCCCATGTAAACACATCTCCAAGATGTCAGAGTCCGAAACTCTCAAGACTGTCTGTCCTTCCATAAAGCAGTCTTCTGGAGTTTTGAGTATATAGCTATGCACTGTGCATGACTCAGAAAAGGCTCCAGCACAGGTATTTCCTTAACTCATATAACCATAGGTCCCTGAAACTTCTTCCAGGGCACTGGTGACAGCAATATTCTGTCACGTTTACTTGGGAAAACATTTAGTCGTAAAAGGAACCTGAAAGATGAGAAAGAGTAACAGGGTAATAGAATAAGGTCTTGCAACTAATTAGAAAGCCCAGAATTCAGGCTTGAAGTTCACAGTTGGCGTCACAGAACGCTAGTAACTGTTGTCTCTGTGAACCCCCTTATCAACGTAGTTCTGCATCAACAGTTCACAAACCAGGTACACACTTCACACCTGACCTGCAGCACTCCAGTGGAGCCTGTATTCTGCACAAATTCATAACCACACTGAGTCATGGGCAGCATGGCTGGAGCAGGCAACCACAAGGGAGATGAATCCTGATGCCCACGGTGGGCGCAGCTCAAGTTGTAACAGTAATAAGTGGCATTTGAAAACAAAGTGCTGTCAATTTTATCCATTTTAAAATCAATCCACAGAAAACATCATCTGAAATGCTGCTAACTTAGCAACACTCCAGCCACATTTTCAAAGTTCATACACTGTTATTTACCTCAATTTTGCAATGATTACTCTTACAATTCAGATTTTTAAATGTTTCCCAAGGGCCACCTGTTGAGGGCTGCATCACTAGACTGGGCTACTACTGTGAAATAGTGAGACTTTTATGGGCTGAATCCACATTGAAGAGGAATGAGAAAAAAGGGCTGACAAACACTCTAGGAAAAACGGGTACCAATACAATTTCCTGAGGATCATCAATACCTGTGGTATTCTCAGTGAGAGTGAGAAGGAAGACTTACAACCAACGTTCCTTAAAAAGAAACAACAGCAAAACACGCAAGCCCTGGAAACGAAAACTAAAAGCAGATCAGGGAAACATGAGACGCTATGGAAGACCACGACGCTGACCTGGAAGATGAAGCCAGAGAAACCGCCAAGGATGTAAACAGACAAGCCAAGGAGTGAGAAGACCACACGGTGGCCTGAAGCCTGGGTGTGTGGACAAGCACAGAACACGGACACAGGGAACTACGCCACCAGGTGAAGGGAGCTTTCTAGGGCAAGAGAAAGCTCGCTTCGAGCAGACAGTCCCACTAAATACTGACTGACTATGACTAGATTACATTTGGTGCAATCTTGTGACAGGATTTTAGGAAAATCCTAAATATTTCAAAGAAAAATCTCACTGGGAACAAAGGGAGGAGACAGACTGTGACTTTCATCCACAATGAAAGCCATGTTGGAAGAGCAGGAACAATGCCTTGAGATTTCAAATCTGGGTGTTCATTTTATCTAAACTTACAAAATAGATGTAAAGAAAAATCAGGCTATTTTAGACTTTCTAGAACTTGGAATATTGGCTACTATGTTGCTTACACAAGAAAAGTACTTGAGACAGATAAGAAAAGAGAAAATAGTATTTAAGAAAAAGTATAAGGAATCGTAGCAATTGAGAGGAAATAAAAAGGCTAGAAAGAAATAAGAAGCACTTTGACTGGGATGCTTAGAAGATTCCCTTCAACAGACAAAGTTTGTATCTTAGAATTTTACATACATGCTCATTTATATTCCTGCTCTACATGTGTGCATAACCTATATATTTTAACATGAAAGTGCATGTACTGCATTACAACAATATAAACTGATTATATCTTTGTATCTTAAAACTAGCCTCTAAAAGTGGTATGTACTTAGTGAGACCTGATCTCAGCCCCCTCCCACCAGCCAAAAACCTCACCTCTACACAAGAGATCACTACAGCGACAGAAATGCTGAGACCCTGTCAAGGTAGAAGTTTTCAAAACTGAAAGGAGAAAAGAAAAGTCAGAAATTAATAAAGGATCCCTTCAGATTTTGTAGCAAGAGGTCAGACATTACTAGAACCAGCCGATAAATTTAAGCTTAGAGTTATAACTTTCTGAGAAGTTACAATGCTCACAGGAATCAACCCAGCAAGGCTCCAAGGCAGCCTCTAGTAATCAAGGCTGGAGGTGGAGGTGGTCAAGGCTCAGGAAGCCTTCCCATGCCAGTCCGTAGTTGCTGTTACTACTCTGTATTTCCTATCGTGACAGCCACTGCTTCCACAATTATAACATGTAAAAAGCATTGTACTGTGGGTCACGCTTATTGAAATGACTTGTGCAGAACCCAGGTTATCAGAGTGTGCATAAGTCATCTGTGGATGGGCACATTACTGATTGACATTTTCTCCTCCTCAAGCATCTTTCAAGCCACCAGGCAGGAAGATGGAGATTGATGTGTGCATCAGAGAAAAGCCATGGAGCAAGGCCTTCTTTCCCATCTCCAGTGGATTAACACACAGAAGAAATCCGCTACAACATGGTGGCTAACGGTATTCTAAGCATCCTCTTCAATATCGCTGGGGTTCTTTTAGAGATCTGTTGAAATGGACTCCGTAAAGCAAAGGCGCACTGTGTGCATACACAGGAAGTGGCCAGCTTGCCTTGGTATTAACTTTAAAGCACTAATGGGGACTTTTGGGAAGACTGGGTTTGTCAGAAGACATTTACAAATCTGTGTTCTCCTCTTCCCTTGCCCTTCCTGCCCCCACTTGTAGCCTGGTCCTCTGGATCAACCAGAGCCTTACAGATGCTAAGCGCATGCTCAGTACGATAATGAGTTCCAGACCAGTCCTAGCACTCAGCAAGACCTTATCTCAAAGTTAAAACAACAAGGAGCTGGGGCAGTGCAGAAGTAGAGTGTTTGCCTTGCTTGTTTATGGTCCAAGGTTCAATACCCAGCACCAACAGACAGACACACACACACAGACACACAGACACCCCCCCACATACACATACACAGATACATGCAAGCATGTGTGCGCACACACACACACACACACACACACACACACACACTTCCTCATAGCTAGGTATAGCAGAAGCAGAAACCCAAGTAAAGAGACTAGTGCCATTGCTCTGGCTGCCACTCAGAACTGCGTCACCATACACAGGATGGCTAACTTCCATGTTAGACTGTTTCACTAGGACGATGATCACAGCTGTAGACGCTTCTGGAAATCTCAGCCAAAGCCCAGACTGCCTCTTAGACACTTTTTACCAAAAATGTTTGTTCTCATTCCATCTTTCCTTCAAGACCGCCTGACTTAGACAAGCTATGAACAACAAAAGAGGACTGCACTCCACAGGCTGCTCACTTTGCCCATTCGGTTTTGTTTTTTTCTCTAGGCCTATGTTTTCTGTAGAGAATCGGGACACTTTCTCTCCCTTAATAGATCCTCTCCTTGATAGAAAGAACTTGCCCTCATCACAGCCAGGCAAAAGCCAACGGCGCTGGACAAGTTCTCGGTCACTGTTTGACACTCTTCTTTTACAGATGAACGGAGACACTGAGAAGGCAGGCCACCATCACTATCAGCAGGGCTGGTCTACGGCAGGCAAGAGGCGAACACAAGCTTTTCCGCTTGGGGCGAGATGGTTTTAAGCCATCATGAGTACTTCACACACCCTGGTAAGGTTTCTGTTCTTAAGACAGCCAGATATGATTTCAGAGATGCTCGAACAGAATTTTATTACACTTCTTCTATTAGACTAGTTAGTGGTTACAAATATCTTTTGAGTTTGTTTGTTTGTCTTTTAACTTCTTTACAAGCAAAGTCACCCTGCTCCTCATAGAATCCCCTAAGAGCTTCTGCCCTAGGAGCTGGCACAAGTCTAATCATAATTCTGCTTTCCTAGAGAACCTAATGCTGCTGACCAGACACCGTGGGAAAAGACGGCTCATTAACCAGTCACTGATGCTGCAAGTCACGTGGGAATTGTTTACTGATAACAGGATTTGCTGTTGGCTCTCCTGAATGAACATCAGGTCTATGTATTTGAGTTTGGCTGGGGACAATCAATAGATCCGAGGTTATTTTACATTTCAATCTTTGTCCTAGACCAAGACAATGATGTTCTCTTATTGCCTTATAGCTTAGTCATTTCTTTTAGTCAAAAGTAACTTCTTGCAGCAAAGCAGGATTATAGAAAACAAGAGTTTGTAATTTCATATTAAATTAACAAGACATACATATACTGGATAATGATTCTCAAGTTCTTCAGATGTTAAAATGTGTTGGAGATTTTGGGGAATTCTAGAACACGTTAGTATGTTTGTCTGGTTCACATTCAATTGTCACAAAAATGGAAAAGGCATTCTTCAGCGTTCTTCTCAGACAGAGGCTACAGTTGTGCGATTAAGAAGACAAAATCAACCGATATTTTTAGGAGTAGCAGCTGACTAATCTTACTAATCCCCTCCCCCTCCCATCCCGTAACCCGTATATAGGTCAACACAGCTTCAGAAACTAACTGGAGGAAAGAAATGATTACTTC